ATATGTTGTGGGGTTGTTAACCAATGTCATAAAACAACATGTGTACTACTGTTTCACGAGAAACTATTTGTTCTGTAAGCCTTCACCTGAAGTACAATTAAAAATAAATAAATAAATAAAAAGTGATTCCCACAGCTGTTAATAAAGCAAACCTTGTCCTCCTCCTACGTCTCTTAAAGCGAGGATGCTAAACCAATGCTAGAGACACGTCCTGGGCTGCAGCAAGGACGTCACTTCAGCCCACCCCCTGTGAACAGGGCCTCTGCAGCTGTCAATATTGGCTCATGTGGAATCCATTGAATTTGTATTTTTGCATCTTTTGAAATATATAGATGGGATTTGGGGTTGTAATGAGCTTAGATAAAAGCAAACTAGTTCTCAGAAAATGAAACAAGAATTGAAATGTCATTCAAAATTAAGGAGTGGGTTTCAGAGAAAGACGGATGGCATACATGTAGGTCACTAAATCATCTTATTTGTGCCTCCCGGTTCAGGAGTTTGGACTTGGCTCAGCCCGACTGCCATGCGACCTTAGTTGACCTACCCAAATCTTCCTGGCTCTGTTTGCTTCGTCTATTGAATTTAGGGAGTTGAACAAGTATCATCACAGTCCTGCTAGGTGCCAGGTATGGATTTGCTATACTCTGAGGACACACAGATGAAGACGTGCTCTCAAAGATCTTTAACTAGTAGGGAGCAGGCTCTTAAACAGAGGACAGTGTGATAATTACGGTTAACGGCACTTACGTGCAGGGGGCCGTGGTGATGGGTTAGGACTAGATTATTTCAAACGTAGCTCCCTTCTCCCAAACCTGTTTCTGTGACAACACCCCAAGACAAAGGCAGTGTCATATGGAGTGGGAGGGTAGGAAGGAGCTGGGTCAGCCTAGAACAGTTTGACAAGGATGAACAGTTGTGTTTATTCTACATTTCAGGCTTTGCTCAGGATAGGAGAGCCAAGCTTCTTAAACGTCCGTGTGCCCACAGATCACTTGGGCATCTTGTTAAAATGCAGCTTCTGTACGTCTGGGATGTAGCTGAGATGCTTTATTTCCAACAACCTTCTAGATGATACCTACGCTGCTGATCCATAGATGACAATTTGAATCACAAAGGGACTAATGGTTAAGAGCTGTGGCTGCTAACCAAAAGGTTGGCAGTTCAAATCCACTAGCCACTCTTTGGAAACTCTATGGGGCAGTTCTACTCTGTCCTCTAGGGTTGCTGTGAGTCAGAATCGACTCGATGGCCTGGGTTTGGTGTTTTTTGTTTAAAGGACTAAACAAAAGCAGCCCTGGTGGCACAGTGGTTAAGCACTTGGCTGCTAACCAAAGGTTGGCTGTTCGAACTCACCAGTCACTCTGTAGGAGAAAGATGTGGCAGTCTACCTCTGTAAAGATCTATGGCCCTGAAAACCCTATGGGGCAGTTTTACTCTGTCCTACAGGGTCACTGTGAGTTGGAATCGACTTGATGGCAGTGGCTTTGGCTTTTTGAGTTTAAAGAACTAAATACAACCAGCTTTGAAGACCAGGCAATTGAGTCTCACACTATTTTGATCTATTGACTGGGGAGACTAATCTTGTCAAGGAAAACTGTGGTTTTGTTTCCCTAGGTTTCCAAGCTGTCTTATACTTGGAACTTTTTAAAACATTGTGTATTTTATTTTGATCATTTTGGTGGACTGTAGGTGACAAAATTATAGTTCAATCTATCCCACTTTGCACATAAAAGCTTTAGTCTCATACTGTGTTAGAATGTATCTCTTACTAGAATTTTCTGTAGAAAATGATCTCTACCTACTTAAGCTCTGTTGTACTTTCTTAGTGGTAATTTCCCCCTATACGATGGTGATAGCAAGAAAGGCTAGTTCGCCCTTTTGGCAAGATCCAAATATGACAGGACTTCCTGTCACTGAAGTTGCAGCCTGTGAAGAGATTTAGAAGTCTGGTGGAAGAGATCAAATGGAATCAGTGACCATTCATTTTGGAGGGACAGGGAAGTGAGACTGGCTTTAAATCTCAGTCTACATTTAATTGCTTAGAAAGCTTATACTCGACTCCTGAACTCAGTTTTCTTATCTGTAAAATGAGGGCAACGGTGTCCCTCAGGGTGGCGAGGACTAAGTGAGAAAATTAAGTGCCCACATGTAGCAGGTATTTAATGATTAGTTCCCCAATCCTCACCCTCATGTTGAGGTGTGTGAAAAACGTTGTTAGACACAGATTTTCCTGGAGTGTGTAGTTCTGTAAGTGGAAACCGTGTGTACACATAACTGCAGTTTTGCTGTGGCTGGAGAAAAAAAGGCAGGGGTTTTCTGTTTTTTTCTGCCTACCCTCCTATTAACAGGCTTAAAACGAAGGTGGCTGGTAGTTGCCATAGAGTGGGCTGACTCGTGACCGCCTTTCCTACATCAGAAGGGAACGCGGCCTCGTCCTGCACCGTCTTCACGAGCGCTGGTCTGCTTTAGTAACAACTGTGGGAATCACTTCTGTCAGCTGCAGACTTCTGAGCATGCTACCAATTTTCCATCAGAGACAGCAAGAAGCAGAGCTCCCAGGTGGGGCTGAGTGCTCACCGCCTGAGCATGGAGGCAGCCACAGGTAGCCTATCTGGAATACCCAGTGCACTCCTGTTTCTCCCAACGGCCATTCTCCAGGTGGTGGGGTTGGGCCCCAGCTGCCCCAAAATATACAAGAAAAACTCAAGAATATCTGCTCCCCACTCTTTTTTTTTAAAAAAAAAAACAGATCATAGATGAAGCAAACCTTTCTCAATAGAGGAGAAAGTAGTGGGTACTGTGACAAAGATTCACGCCAAGAATACACCTAAAGACTGAAGGCATACGTCATGACACTAACCAAAGAATGCTCACAGAAAACTCGACGGCTTGGTTTGAAGCTCTGAATGCGTTCCAACTTTTTTTGTATTTCACAATTTACATTTTTATTTATTTGAGTCCAGTCTGCTAAATAAAAACAGTAACAAGATATTTCACAAACTATCATACAATTTGAAGACTTGAATTTCATAAAAAATATTGGGCACATATTCATACTGGCTTAACTCACATGCTGTGTTTCATCTATGGTCTAAAATAGTCTGTAAGAGATTTGGTTCCAGCGTTAAAAATTATCCATCAGTATTTTTTTTTTTTTTAACATGTTTTACATTAAAAAGTTTGTGTTCTTATTCAAAAAGATCCACAGACTAAATTCAGCATGTAAAAATAATTTTGCAAAATCCAAGATTACACTTTCAAATCCACTTTATTTCTTTTCCTTCTCACACACACTTTAGAGGTCTCCACACACCACACTTATCGCAGCTATCAAGTCACTTGTTGTTGGTCAGGTACCATTTATTCTTTTATCATTTTATCCCTAAAATTGTGTTGGGGTCAAAATATGACAGTTAACCAGTGTTAAATCCGTAAAATATTTACACATTAAGCTTTAGACACTTGGCAATTAAACCACATAAAAACAGGCCAAGACCCCCGCTGTACATGATCTCAGTCAGGTATTTACCATCCCTAAGTTGGCGCCCGTACACTGGTTCAAACGGCAGCAGTCAGGCAACAGGCAGTTACTTCGGAGGGCATTGAACATTAGGCTCTGGAAGCACGTTATGATGTTACCCAGTGTCACGTACCATCCACCTTTCTCCAAGGTGGTCTCATAATTCTAGAATGGCCGGTCCAGCTGATACGAAATGAAGACAGACAACACAACATGTACTCTGTAGAGATATCCTACTCTTACTATGCATTCACTGTGATTTTGAATGTAACTCGTCCCAAAAACTTGTCACGATCATCCTTGTTTTTTAGGTTGGGTGATCCGTCAATTATGCAGTCAAATGTCGCTTCTTTCCTGGTATTGTTAAGATTAAAGGATGCCTGGACAGCAACTACTGGCTGTCGATACCCCACCTAGAAAATAAAGGAAAATACACCAATTAAAACTCTACAGTAACTTCATCTACAGTTTCCTCTATGCAGAGTTGGTCTATTCTGTAAATTTAAAAAAAAAAAAAACAAAAACAAGATTTTAGTTTATTAGACCTATTATTTTCTACTCATTGCCTCATTTATTGTTTTTTTTTAAGCTGAAATTTAATTATTTTCATATTTCATTTTTATTGATAAAAGTCTGACTATGAATTTTCCTGCTTTGAATGTATAGACTGTGATCATGGCTTTAAATGTATCCTATAGATTAGTGATTATATTGTGTTGTCTTTATAACATTCTATAATCTTGTTTCAAATTTCCCCTTTCATCAAAGAGTTGTTTAATAGTTCTGTTTAATTTTCCAAATGGAAGGATCTTATAAAAACAATCACACTACACTGCAATCAGAAAGTATTATTTGTAATATGATCTCTACTTTATGGAACTTAAGGATATTTTTTTTGTGACCTAATACATGATAAACTGTTGTGACTGCTCTGTGTGTGCTGGAGAAGAGTATGTATTCTCTATTACAGGGCATAACATTTGGTAAATATCCAGTAGTTCTATCTTACAGATTGTTACTTAGGTCTTCTATATTCTTATGACTGCTGTGTAATTTGGTGCATATATATTCATAATTTGTTTTAGCCTCATTGTGCATTCTATATATAACTCTTCACTAAAAGGAACCAGGGTTGACTCCAGGGCTGCGGTAGGGAAAGTACAAGTTGAGACTGGGACATCTTCTGGTGCCAGAAAGTGAGGAAATGCTCTAAGAATTATGGGAGCATGTCAAAAGGAAAAGGAGCCAACCTGAAAGTCTACCACTGAACTAGTTGGGGACAATTTGCGCATCTATTGAAATTAAATGACTTTAACAGATCATAGCCCCTGAATTAAAGAATCCATGAGTCCATACTGATAACGAACAGAAGGAAAAACTCTTAGAGTAGAATGCCAATTAAAACATGTAAAAAGGCCCCTGAAATCTTCTTAAAACTGAACAATAGTTTAGCTTCACTAGTAAAAAATGTCTGCCTTGAGCATTATGCTCTTTTAAGAACCATCTATATGGGATCGAATTGACAATAGCAACTCAAAAGATTAGACAGGAACCTCAGAGGGCAGTGAGTTTATGTTAAAGAGGGAGGAACAACTCAGAAAAGGAGGGTGAGAATGGTTACACAACTCGAAGAATACAATCACTGTCACTAAACTGTACACGTAGAAACTGGCGAACTGGTGTATGTTTCGCTGTGTATATTCTCAGCAACAAAATTTAGGGGAAAAACATGTAAAAAGGAAAGATGGAATTAGTAAAACCACCCTTTGGGATCAATCATACTATAAATAATACAGGCAAGAATCAATGAATTCTAAAAGTGTGGGAGAAAATTTGATAAGAAACACTATTTATAGACTCAAAGTATCCCCCATAAGATATCTGCTGATTACAAAGGGGGAAAAAAAAAAAAACACTCGACTAACTTGACAGTGGAGAAACTGGCTGACACCAAGCGATCAAGGTCAGCATCACCATTAATGATGATGACAGTCAACACCACGTGCCTCCTCAGAGAGGCTCTGGAGGAAGACACAATCCTGAGGGATTCCTGACAAAAACGCACAACCTAAACCTCCTCATGGGAAAAAAACACACAAAAACCCTCAAATTAACAAACATAAACAAAACAAAACAAAAAAAACAAACAAACCCAAAAAAGGGTCAGTACTCATTTTTGAAGAGTACAAGGACATGAAATACAGACGGAGGAAGTGCTCCAGATTAAAGGCAGCTAAAGATGTTAACAGCGTGATATCCTGGACCAGGAAAACACTTTTTTCTTTTGCTACAAAGGACGTTACTAGAAAGAATGACGAAATATGAACAAGGTCTATAAGATGAGTGACAGTTCTGTATCAATGTTTATTTTCTTTGATAATTGTATCATGGTTATATAAGATAATGCCGCTAAATGGTTCAGGGGTGTGTGTATACATACATACATACATAGACAGAGTGAATATGATTAGCCAAAATGAAGTAAAATTTGGGAAATCTGAATCCGGGTAAAGGGTCAAAAAGAGGAATTCTTTGTATTAGTCTAGTTTAAGAGTAAACCTGAAATTATTTCTAAATGAAAAATGTACACACAGTATGACCCTAATTTCAAAATATCTCTCTATATATTCATTGTTAGATGCCATCCCATTGATTTATGACCCACGGTGATTCCCCTGTGCTACAGAGTAGAACTGCCCATAGGGTTTTCAAGGCTGTAATTTTTATGGAAGCAGATTGCCAGGTCTTTCTCCCAAAGAGCCGCTGGGTGGGTTCAAACCGCCAACCTTTCAGTTAGCGGCTGAACACTGTCTATGTTGTGCGTGTGTCTAAGAAAAGAACTAAAGAAAAACTACACCAGAATATAAAGTTATTTCTGGGCAGTAAGTTTTCTTATTTCTTTAATACTTCTCTGTATTCTCTAAATAAATGCACACTGCTTCTATAATGAAAGAGAAATGGTATTTTTAAAATTAACTGCCCTTTATCTGCTTGGATTTTGGGTTTTGGATTGTAGGTGTGGGATCTCCATCTGCCATCATCATTGGTTTTTGAAAGCCAGGAGAGATGATGCACAAGTAACACAGGACATGTGTCTATCCAGCCCAGACTAGTGGTATTTTAATGGAGACGTGCCAACTTCCAAAAAGATTCAGCACCACTTCAGAACATCTAAATACTTACATGCAGTTTTTTCCCATAATACGGAAAGTATTTCAAGTCTATATGTCCACCTGAAGGGTAAGTTGTTATAAGTGCTGCGCGTTCATCCTAAAGTTAAAAAGCGAAAGAAAATCTTTTTAGGTTAAAAAAAAAAAAAGAATTAAAAACAAAAGTATGTATATTAAAGCAGTATCAATCATGGACACGATGAAGAAACTACAATGCTGCTGCAACTATATTAATCACAAGTGTATTTTTGAGAAGAGATTTGCTCATCTTGATTGGAAATATCATGTAATTAAACCCTTGACACAAACATCTTCTTCTGTTTCCTGTCATACCCTGTGCCCTTTTCCCTCAGTGTCCCTTCCAACTCACAACCACACCCACTGCCTGTACAATCCCATCTACCCCCACAAACTACCAAACGCCCGCTCTGTGGCCACTGAAAGTAGGCAAGCACCAGCTTTGGGACTGAAGTTTTCCTGAACTGAACACTGAGCTTCCATACTGGAATGCAACGGCTGCCACAAGGTGTCAGTCCAGAAGGTAGCACTCAGGGCTGGAAGGCAGCAGATCAAGAATTTTATGTGACTAATAACCAAGATAAAACCACCCAGAGGGAAACTACGATGCCACTGACAGAAAATTTAGGGTACCCCAAGCAAAGCACTTCTTAATTTAAATACCACGTTTTCCCACGAATAACCCTATGAACACATGTAAATCAACAAGTACTCTGCATCTACTGCAATTATATTTCAGTTAGAAAAACAGATAAGCACTATAAATACACAATTTTAACTAGCATCTACGGTCCAATTCATTCAAGTTATTACTTACCTCTAATATTCTTGATACCCACCACTCATCAGTCAGATTGTCATACTGTGGTGGCTTACATGTTGCTGTGATGCTGGAAACTATGCCACCAGTATTTCAACTACCAGCAGGGTCACCCATAGCTTCCAGACTAAGACAGACTAGGAAAAAGGACCTGGTAATGTACTTCTAAAAAAACTGGCCAGTGAAAACCTTATGAAAAGCAACGTACATGGGGTCGCTATGAGTTGGAACCGACTCGATGGCACCTAATATTATTGTTATAAATAAGCAATTTATGAAATTTCTCATGTCGCACATCTCAAATAGGCCTAACTCTAGTAACTGTGATACATACTGAGTAGACAGTAAATAGACTACAATAATTAAAAAGTGGCAGATTTGTTGTTATTGCACTAATAAAAATAAAACATTACTAGAACACGTGAATTCTAGATTTGATTAAACTAATTTCTATTTCTGAAAGCATGTATAAAACAGCACAGCAAAACTAAAATTACTCTGTGGAAAGGCCCTACTCACTGCCTGTTTAATTTCAGGATCACAGTACAGCACATGTGCATATGGTGGGAATGAGAAATACACAGACAAGAGGCAGGGGCGAGACAGCGCAAAGCACAGAATGATACCATGAGTTGCCGCTGAGTCAATTCCAACTCATGGTGACCCCATGTGTGCAGAATGGATCTGCTCCATAGGGTTTTCAAGGTTGTGACCTTCAGGAAGCAGATCGCCAGGCCTATCTTCTGAGGAGCCTCTGAGAGGGTATGAACCACCAATCTTTTGGCTAGTACTCCAGGGTTTAACCGTTTATGCCACCCAGGGGCATCCCCACAAAAAGGGTAATTTGTAATAATCCAAATCAAGGATATATGAAAAGAGCAGGAGATAACAAGCCTAAGACAAACTGTAGGGGACATTTTTCAATCACTAATCAACACCATCCTACACTGGTGCTCCTTAATTTAAAAAATTTTTATGTAATCTAAAATAGCATTTTATATCAGAGGCAAATTAATCATTTTCACACGAGTGCTTTTCTGCATTAGTTGCCTGTTTAAACTATTTTTCTCTAATATTCGAGCTTAATTCATAGAAACACAGAGATATTTCCCAAAGTGAAGAGGTTTGCTTTTGGTAATGGAATTGGAGATAACTTTGACTTTCTTCTTACTTTCTGCACTGTTCGATTTAAAAGAAGGCCATTTATAGAAACAATAAACTACTTTCAAAAGGAAAAATTCAATTCAATATCTTTCTGACCTAATAGTAAGGAGTATAATTTATTGAGCACTTCTGTGTTTATTTCTTAGCAGATACCACACTTAACTTATACTTACACCTCACTTAGGCCTCAGAAGGGAACAGAGGATCAGAGTCAAGGTCACTTGCTCAAGATCACTCAAGTGTGGCAGACCTTAACTGTAATCTTGGTTTGTACCTAAACCATTATCTTAGCAGGCTTTTCCCTTGTATTTTATACTTTCTGTGAAAATAAACATTTAGAAATTGTGAAATATTGAAATGCATTATCTGAATAATGATGAGATATTTTAGGGTGAAGCATCCATGTCACACTTTTCTAAGTACATGGATGGCATTTTCTTGGAAACTATGAGCAACTAACTCCAAGAGTTGACTGACAGTCACTCAGTTCCACTGAAAATCAAGTTTAAAAGTGAATGCATTTTGTTTTCTAGAACCGTCACCCACAAAGGACTTGAAGCACACACACAAAGGTGTTCTAAGCACTGGTTATCTCTGGGTAGCAGAGATTTTAAAATAATTCTTATGTATTTTTCTAACATGAACATGATTCGTTTTTGTAGTAAGAAAACGAAAATAAAATACTGAATAAAACTAATGACATGAATAAGAATACTACATCTTTTACAGAATCATCCTTTAAACTGATATAAATAAAAAGACCACCTCTAAGACCAAGCTCTGATAAGGACATTTCTGGATTTTCAGGTCTCTAACTCGAATGAAAACAATTAGAGCCGATCAAACTGCTAAGAACACAAGATGAAATAAAAGACACGTGCATTCGTAAAAGACAAGCAAACCAAGGGGTTTAAACTAAAGAAAACCTCAAAGAGGCAAATCTAATGGAAACCAGCAATTATGATCATACACAGTCAATACTGTGTCCATCTGCTCTACAGGGACACACCTCTAAAGTTTATGAACTCCAGCTGGTTACTCCTTTGTATATGGTTTAGGAATAAAATTCAAAATTTTACAAGCATTTCTTCCAATTGTGTTTTTCTAAAAGAAACTAAAAAAATTCCACAACTAAATAAGTAAACAAAACTCCCACTTATTTTGATTATTCCATGTACTTTACACGTATCTCTTCAAAGTAAAAGGGGCAGCAAACTGAAATCATAACCACTGGAGCTGTATTCTTCATAAACATTTCCCAGCTACTCTGGAAGCAAAGGCTACAGACATACTGTGAAGGAAAGGGCTTTTGCCTTTTATGGCAAAAATGTGTGTGCGCGTGTGTGTACGCATCACAGATCCTTCATTCCAAGCTTATCTCTGTAGCCCACTCACATGCAAAGGCAAAGTCTCCTGCATACAGGTGCACCATCCTGAAATGAGCATTTCTACCACGCTGAGGTCTAGGACCCAAGCCTCAGCAACTCTAGTGAATAAATACTCTCAAGCTTTCAAGTGTGAGGCCTGGACCAGCAACATCAGCATCACCTGGAAACTTGTCAGAAATGCAAATTTTGGGCCCCACCCCAGACAGATCTACTGAGTCAGAAACTTCGGGCATGGGACCCAGCCATCTGTGGTTCAATAAACCCTCCAAGTGATTCTGATGCATGATCAAGTTTGAGAACCACTATCCGAGAAGTTTCTGCCCAAGTGAGAATTCCATTTGTGGTTAAAAGCAATTACAATTCTTTTCAAAACAGCTTTAAAAGTGATTTCAATGTAACATTTCAAGTAAAATACTGACATACACTTCGAGTTGACATGTTATTATTTAGCACAATGATAAAATTAAGTTTAGAACTCAACAGTTTGTCCTCAGAACTCCTACCCATCATTTACATATTTGTCTTAGCTGCATTTGCAGCATGGAGAGAAAACAAAACAAGTTATGAGATGGAAACTGCACAGAAGTCTGGAAAAAACAGAGACAGTGGAGACAATGTCTCTACCTCAAGGAAAATGTACCATAATTTACTGAATCTCGGATGCTACTGATGGTTACCATACCAATTTATGTGCTATTGAGAAAGAAAGAAAAAAAATCTTATGATACACTATTAAGATACCATCAGTTATAAGGCCAATCGCAATTTCCAAAATACTAATTGGAAAAATCAATGCAACTCTTAAACCACTGGCGAAATATGGCACAGGTAAATGTAAAGGCAATGTACGCGAAATCCAACAGACATGGAGAACAAGGTTTCTGAATCATCATCAGCAGACAGATGGGCTACTCACAAGTGTGGTGTATTATTTTGTACTTCTGAAAATGGCACTAGAGAGGACTTTAAACATGTGACAGGAAAGAACAAATGAGACTAAACTTCTTAGACTTTTAAAGTATTCTTCGGAAATACCAAAGTATTAACAGAAGCTCAGAGTTATTTTCTGAATAATACTAACCTTTGGAGTACACGTTATCCTTGGTTGTCCTTTAGGTTTCAATCCAATTATCTAAGATTAAAAAATATTGATGAATTTAAACACCACATATAAATACAGTGGAAGCTCCTCCTTTGTTGCTAGGGATTGGAGGTAGATGGGCTGCGATTAGCACTCACCCTACATATTAACATTGTTATAGCTGGCTTTTACTTTTATTTCAGAGGATTCGATCTCACCCATCAACCTTCTTATTACTGTCCTGGGGCAATTTAGAAAATCAAGCCACTACCAAAGAACTGACTTAACAACAGCACTGCATTTTGGTACCCTTAGAACAAGAAACAAACAATAACTCTTAGATTTATTATTTATGTGAATAAGATGTTTAATGTAAATACTCAGAGCGTCAGCGGCATAATAGAAACATTAATTATTCGTGATGAAAATATATTATTAGGTCATAATCCCTAATGTGTATTTTTCCATATCCCCAACAGAGCCTTACCATATTCACATCTATCCGTTCTACTAAATGCATACATTTGGCTAGAACTCCATTTTAAGACAATCACAACACTGCTCGGTTCTGTCAAGAGGCTACTTCCATGTACGCAGCTGATATAACTAACTCTATGAATGGTCATAGGTTTTTACGGATCTACTTCACGGGGGGATTTTTTGGGTTCTGAATGCATACGCTGTTTACATGTAAATGGCTGTAAATGTAAACATTCCTCCCAAAAGACAAATAATTGTTGTAACCGAAATAATCACCTCAACAGCAATAACTACCCTTGCCCGTGCAATGGCTCTGGAACAATCTCCACTGGACCAAAGCCCCTGCTACACTGGGTGCCCATGTCTCATTACAACAGCTGCTTCCCGTGTGGTCTGATGTGGTCCTCCCGTCAGGGCCCACAGAGCCACGGACCCATCAGCAAGCATAAGCTCGGACCCTCATCATTCAAAGAGGCCTCTGAGAAAGAAAACAAACTCTGAAGGTTGGTCCTGTACGGGGAATAGATTTCCACCCATTTGGTGTTCGTGAGGATGCTCCCAGATGGCTGGGATTACAAAAGGCATTCCTGTACAAATGAATAAACGTAATTCATCTTATAAACTAGATCATCTAGTTTCACATTGTTGCTATTGTTAGGTGTCGTCAGGTCAATTTTGACTCAAATCGACCCAGTGTGTTACAGAGTAGAACTGCCCCATAGGGTTTCCTAGGCTGTAATCTTTACGGGAGCACATCGCCAGGCTGTTCTCCCACAGAGCTGCTGAGTGGGTTCAAACTGCTAACCACTCAGAGCACTTAACCACTGTGCTACCAGGGCTCCTTAGTTTCACATTACAGGTAGTCTCCGACTTTGATGTATTCAAGTTATGACAAACTTTACTTACGACCATCTGTACAACTGGAGAAGCAGAAAGTACCTGCTGCTGAAGCTGTAAGTTTACATGTAATGTTTCCAACCCCCAAAGTCAAATAAAGATTGGATTTATAAAGACACTGATAGTAACGAAACCTTAATAAATAAATAAATAAATAAATAAATAAAAGAAGTATTCGACTTACTTAAGAATCAACCTACGATGGGGTCATCACGAATGCTGTCCTAAGTCAGGGACTACCTGGACTTTCAGCTTATTTCCCCTTTGTTAACCTCTATTCTTAACCAAGTCTTGTTGAAACATCCCACTAATCACACACTGAAAGCCTGCTGCTATCTGTCAGGCAATGTTTCAGAACAATCTCCACAGTGCTATGGGGCCATGAGGAAGTGGTCACTGTCCACGGCCGCCCCTGGGAGACGGCCCTCAGAGGAAGGAAGGAGGCTGCAGGAGCATCAGTCTTGACACTTCCGGGAAACTCCTTACTTAGCAGTGCCAACTCGACAAGACCCAGGTTTTCCTTTTATTTGGGATGGTAGCAATTTGCTTCCTAATGGTGGCTGCAGTGATACATAAACTTGCGATTCCTGACAGGTCTACACCTGCTTAAGAATCTGCCTTTTCTCCAAGTAAATGACCAGGAATGGCCTTGCGCTTCAAGGGAGGCCTTGCAGGCCTCAACAGGACAACTTACCAGAACATAACTCTGTAGCACAACACTCATTAAGCAGCCAGGCATGGGGGTTAGTTAGGAGTCACTTCATTACACAAGGAAAGCATCTTCTTTTGTACAATACCCTAATTTGTTATTACTTATATGTAGAGAACATTAGCTTTTTAATTTGCTAATGGCTATATAAGGAGCCCTGGTGGAGCAATGGTTAAAGTGCCTGGCTGATAACAGAAAGGCTGGCAGTTCAAACCTACCCAGCGGCCCTGAGGAATAAACACCTGGTGGCGATCCCCGTCACATGGGGTCACTATGAGTCGAGATCGACCCTATGGCATGTAGCAACTACAGCAATGGCTATGTAAGTCAGGTGCCCCTTCTGTACAATATAGCAAAACGCCAGTTACAGCTGCAATACCTCACTGAGCTCATTAGAGTGGGATTTTATTTGTATTTCTGCTATGTAATTACATACACAAATACTAAGAAACTATGCGCTGCTACTAAATTGTTCAGAAAAAGTTAAGGTAGCCAAAGGTTTACAGCTTCACCCAGGATTCAAAGGCGGCCACCACACAGGAACAAAGCCACGCTTCAGGTACGGCAACTAGAACGCCCGTCCCTCAAGCGGGAATCTACGCGGAAACTCACATAGCCATTTTCAAAAGCAAAAGCTGAAGTTACTTTACTCTCTAATCCATCATGAACTCTTATAAACCAATCTTTTTTCACTGTATTAACTTTTTTTTTCAAAGATCAATAATATTACTGTTAGCCTCTTAAATAAGCTAACCCCGAACTGAGGTATCATTTAATAAGGCGGGCATTAATACAACCAAAACAATCTAAAAATATTTGTCAGGTTTCTATCAGAGGATATCAGCAGTAAAATATGTACCTACTCTGTTCATTTTCACGAGAATACAAGGGCTTCCTCTGGAATAGCCATATTCAGTATCGTTCTGGCCACTGCATTCTTTAAGTAAATGACGAGGAAACTGACACGCACTATAAACAGGGCCCTTCTGTTCAAAAAGTGCTCCGTCAGGACAGGCTGTGAGATTCTTCTGTTCTTCCAAATCGTATGCTAAAAATGAAATACATGTGTGTGTGCACAGATCAACCAAATCGAAAGACTAAAAACAACCAAGAATATATCACTCTTTGGACAATGTTCTTCAAAGGCAAAAACCACAACCCTCATGACCGGATAACTCTAGGGAAAGAATGTTAAGTTTGCTCACTGAACTTTTAACACCTGTGGACTGCTCTAGATCAATCTCTTGTCACCATTAGGTGGCAGCAGCCCTGGCTATAGAGTCCACCTTCTGCATGTTCTCCTCTGTGTGCTAGGCCCAACAGGTAAGACGGTGAGGACACAAAAGGTACTGCCACTGCCCCATGAAGCGTACAGTCTACTGGGGACCAGACTGAGTAGGTCCTTCAGGCTGCTGTTATGTTCTTTGGCTTTTACAGTGACCAAGGTGGAGGTGTTTAAGCATAAGATAACATGATCTAATTCAGATTTTTCAAGGATCACATAGGCTGCTTTCTGAGAGTGGGGGGAAGGGGGCAGAGGCAGGGAGCCAGCCCAGTTAGGAAGCTATTACAGTAATCCAGCTAAGTGGAGATGGCGGCTCGGGGCAAGAGAAGGAGTAATGGAGGTGGTGAGAAAAAGACACGTGTCGGTGAGGAAATGGAGCACAGGAGCGCTCATTCATGGCTGGTGGGAATGCAAAATGGTAGTCACTCTGGATGACAGTCTGGAAGCTTCTTACAAAGCTAAACACAGAGACAGCAGTAAGTTCAGTGGTTTCCAGGGGGACTGGGAGGAGGAATAAACAGGTGGAGCACAGGGGATTTTTAGGGCCGTGACATTATTCTGTATGATACTGTAATTGAGGACCAAAAACCCATGGGATTATACCACACAGAGAGTAAACATTAACGTAGACTACGGATTTTAGTTAATAACTGTTGTTAGCTGCCCTTGAGTCGGCCCCCAACTCATGACTACCCTATGCACAACTGAAGGAATGCGGCCTGGTCCTGCACCAGCCCCACAATTAGTTATGGATTAGACTGCTCTGATCCATAGGGTTTTTAATTGGCTGATGTTCAGAAGCAGACTGCCGGGTCTTTCTCCCACAGGACTGCTGGGTGGGTTAGAATTGCCAACCTTTAGGTTATCAGCCAACTGTAAACCGCTTGCGCCACCCAGGCCCCCTCACCCCCACGATATAGACTTGTTCTACTAATCAAGTACTTTTAGTTTTAAGGTAGATATAAACGTTCACGTCAATGAACTTACTCAGTGTATTTATCAAAGGGTAGATGGAAAAATCAAACCAACTGTCCATTAGGGTTAGGCCCCTACGTCTTTCCGTAAGTTAGAATATTCTTACAACTAATTATAAAATGTACTTGCAACTCTTCTTAGGTTGTCTATAGTTAAAAGGAAATAAAGGTAAAATAAACTCTAAGAATGTTTTTAAAAGCAAGCATAATGGGGTACTAGTTTTTGTCAAAACTAAAATCTTTTACCTTACTCCAAGAAAACATACTTACACTTTAGGAAATTGTCAAGATCTCTAACATATCCTTCATAGGATCTTGAATCAGACAAACTGAATGAATATTCCAACGCAGTCACTGGTTTTGGAAAAACCATAAGTCCTATTAAAGAGATAAGAGAAAAAAGGGGAAAATTAAGTATATCAAACTCCCTTCTCTCCCTACACTTGTCCCTAAAAAGCAGGTCTCAATTATATACAAAATTGTGTCCATGGTATTATGACATTGTCGAGGAACTTCCTGCCATTGTCCAATTATGAAGGTTTTTTTGTTAGGTTCTGTCAAGTGAATTTCCCCTACGGAGCTGCTGGGTCGGTCTGAATTGCCAACCTTCTAGTTAGCAGTGGAGCTCTTAACTGTTGTGCCACCAAAGCTTCTTAATTTATGAAGGTAGACATCTGAAGTGAATGAACACCCAAATCTTCAAAACCACCTCAGAATTTGAATTACCAGTTTGAAATCTCCCCTAACTGTGACCATCTACAGTTAATTATAATCACTATTCCTCATAAAAAGATTCAAGTTTTATTATTTTCCACGTTCATTTTTCTATCAAATAATATTTTTTAAATTTTGCCAATTTGTCATTAATATATGGGAAAAATTTTAGCAAATCAAAGTCTAAGCACTTTTGTTATTAGAAATTATAACTATATGGAAACATTCATAAAGACAGATTTTTTTAAGTACTCAGCAACTAGCTTAAATTTGGTGGTTCGAAACCACCCAGCAGCTCCATGGGAGAAAGGCCTGGTGATCTGCTGCTGTAAAGACTACAGCCTAGAAAACCTTACGGGGAAGTTCTCCTCTATTACATGGGGTCACTATGAGTTGAAAACTGACTTGATGGCACCTAACAACATACATTTTTACCTCTATGGTTAAATAGCCTTCCTTCAATAATAAGCATTTCTCTATGATTAAAATAGTTTCACATGTTCATGGAAACAATTTCATATCACGAGTCTATGCCCATGTACACCTACTCCTCACTCATCAACTATCTCATTATCCAACATTTCGCATTTACGACAATAAATCTACTATCTATTTTGCACATTAACAATGTACAAACGATGTCGGGCAGTAAAAAACACCAAGGTGCAAGGAGAAGGTAACGCTGACTGTGATGGTTAAGATTGTGTCAACTTGACTGGGCCATGATTCTCAGTGGTTTGGCACTTATGTAATGATGTAATTTGGCAGTTATGTAATGATATAGTCATCCTCCATTCTGTGATCTGATGTGGTCATCCCTCCATTTTCACAAAACACTGATTTTCAGATGACAACCTGGTCTTTCGAACCTAACCACGTTGACAAGTGAGGGGTGGGTATATGTAGAACACGCTGCATAAGCTTATTAACAGAGAAAATGAAAGTGTACTAATCTGTAAGAAACATTCAGATTTCCAACTTTATCATAACATCTCCTTGTTTAAAAAAGATTAGGTCTATATTATTTATACAGCCTTACACAATGCTAATATTTTCATTACTCTCCAAACATTCCCCCATTAGAGCTATTAGAGATAATATTCCTTGCAATGAATCTGAAAATATACAAGTAAAAAGTTCAGTTTTAGCTGTCATTAAAATTGCTGCTCAGACACTAATTTTTAGACCAGATCCAGTTTCTTTCAAACCCTAAACACTTGCCTGTGTTGATCTTCATGGTTCATGAGTTAAACTAGATCCAATGCTACTCAAATATGATGAACTAATACTCCTAAATGGCAAAGCAAATCTTACTCTACATTCTGCACTGCAGTGCTATGGATTGCTTTTATGTGGCCTTTCTAGCCATGGTCTTGTAATTCCCACCAAATGACTGCATAAGACCATGGAAATAATGCATATGGAACCCCAGTGAGAGGATAGGTCAGTTTTGCCACTCTGCTAGGCTTAAAATGAGCCATCCAGAGGCAGAAGGAGGGAACATCACTACCACCAAGAAGAAGAGCCAGGAGTGCAGTGCGTCCTTTGGGCCCCGGGGTCTTTGTGCTGAGAACCTCCTAGACCCAGGAGACAGAGAGAGTGAGAGCTGTAACACCAGAGACGGTGCAAGATGGCAAAAAGCAGTGGCAGGGAAATGGTGGCAGCAGAACCAGCAGTATCTGTGGTTTCTAGAAAAAGATGACATCCCTTTATATGATTAAGTTCTAAGGTAATTTTAAAACATTTCAATTTAGAAAAAAAAATTGTATTAGACCCAAATGTTTAAAACTGAATTTCTGATACTGGTTTCATTTAGATCTTGCCTAGCAACGCTCTTGCAGACCCAGTACCTGCTCTTTAGCCCTCTATACCTGCTATTCAACAGCCAGTTTGAAGTTCTAAGTAAAAAACCAGGGCAGGAGTTTGTAGTACAGCTGCATTTTTAACATAGTACATTTACATATTCCAAATAAAGTCTTGGCTTACCCAAACCAAAAACATCAAGAGAATGTGAAGACTACCCACCCAATTCTTATCTCCTCCAGATTTAAACTACTGGAGTCTGAGTGTATGCGTGCACGCACATGTATGCATGCATTTGTAGCGGTACAGATGGGGAGATGGATGGTATGTGTTTATGTTGTAAGTATGTGTATGTAGAGATACATATCAATTTAAAACTAACATGTATTTTACTGAGTGTAAACATGTCAACAAAACACCATTTACAAATAAAAATAATGCGGACATTGTAAAAAGAGACTTAGAAAATACAGGTAAAAAGAGAAAGATTACCCATAATCTCTTCGTGAAAAGAAAAATCACCTTTAATAATCTGGTGTACATTCATCTTGTATATGTGTGTGTATATATATGCGTTTGTGTGTGCATGAAACTAATGATACTTTTTTAAGTACAATGCACTTGGTAAATAGCTTTAAAGAAATCAGTTTAAATATACTGAACACATATTTTACTGCTTGTATTTTTCATGCCATCATAAAATGAGTTTAATATTTCTGAAATAGATCAAATTGTGTTCAAAGGAATTAAAGTCAATTTAGGGAGCAGGAAAAAAGAATATCTTAGAATTAATCTAGGCAGAAAGAAAACTGGGGTACAGTGAGAAATACGAGAAAAATTATTATGGTGCTAGTCTGATACTTGGTCAAACAAACTTAAGAGTGAGCAGAAAGGGGTTATTCGAGATGTTTACACAGATCAATATTTACTGGAAAGGAAAGGCAATTAGAACAAATTGTTCTAAGAAAAAAGCACTGGGAAAAAATGGTTCTGTTTGATTGTTAACATGGCGCAGAAGTCCATGCTGTGAGCAAGGATCTTGGTCAGGATTTTTCAACCTCAGCACTATTGATATTTCGGGCTGATAATTCTGTGTTATGGAGGGTTGTCTTATTCAGTGTAGGATGCTTGGCTGCATCCCTGGCCTTTACTCACTAGAAGCCAGTACCACTAGGCCTGCCCTGCCCCACCCAATGGGACAACCAAAAATGTCTCCAAACACTGCCAAATGTGCTGCAGGAGCAAACCGCCCCTGGTTGAGAACTACTGCTCTAGGTGGAAACCTCCCGCTCAAGGCCCACCTTCCCTGGTCTGACTGCCCGTCTTTCCTGCTGTCCATACCCCACCCCTCCATGTAGAGCCTTTCCTTCTCTATAACTTCTAGAAATCTTTCACATTTTTGGGAACTATATACACTGGAGTTCTGCATGTTATTGTTTTCTTCTCTAAAAAATTATAAACACCTTGAAGATGACAACAATGAAGGCAGAGTTGGCATTCAAAGACTATCTGACTGTTTTAAACAATAAAATCAGGAGCAAAAAAATGTGATTTAAACAAGTATTTCAGTTTAAACATTTTTTTCTCTAGTATATTCTTTAGTATAATGAAGAACTTTTTTATTTCTGAAGAGAATCAAGAGACAGGAATTAAACATATAAAGAATACACTCCTTTTATTCTCTAATGATGTGTCAGTATTTAACATTTCTTATCATATCCATCCTAAGCAATCAGAACCATGAAGCATGTATTTACAAGACCAATGGTCTAGCCCGAGCTAGAGCTGAAATACACACTTTATAACTAAATTACTCAAGGAGAGTGAAACTGCTATACAATATTCATAAAAGACATTCATAACTAGAACTAAATTTAGCTTCACTATAATTCTCAATATTCATCTCTGCTTATTCCTGGCAAAGGACCTAAGATTTATCAGTTCATGAATCAATATACAAATCAGTATACACACACTACACAACGGACAAAAATCAAAACTTTCATATTAACCAACCCCAAGGTTACCTTCTATCTGCTATATAAAACAGATTTATGGTGTCATGGCTACACTCAATTATGTGAAAGCTAGGCTGTCAAGCTGTTAGCACTCCATCATTCTAACCACGTAATTCACACTTATCTGCCTTCAAAATTTCATTGTTTCCCAGGAGAAAGAGAAAATTGTTTATAGCGTTCTATTGCCTAAATCCTAATACATTAACACTTCACATTTGTGAAGTTAAAAATAATGAGACTTGAGCGGTAACTGTTATCTGCCTTTGTCATATGACTGTGGGGATGTCAGAGAAGACTAAATATTATTTAAAACACATATACACACAGAAATTTATGGTGAAGATGAACTATAACCCAGTTTTGTTAAAGGCCACGATAACTGCAACATAATTACCTGGAGTGGGAATCTGATCACGATATTTTGGGACTTCATCATTCAGTGTCTGAAGCATGGCCCACATTGTGAATGAGAAGAGCGCAGCCAAGAACCCATAGAAGACTAGGTAGAAGAGCAAGATCAAACCTGCAAAAAGAAATTAAACTTATGAAATTTGGACATACACAGACACACAGGAGCGCGTATACATGTGCGTGCGCGTGTGGGGGGGTGTAGGTTAAGAACAAACCAACCAACCACTGCAAGGCTTTGATTCCAAGCTTCGCCGTGCACATGGCCAAATGTCCCCATATCCAGGACACGTGAATTTGCCCAAGCAAGGGGACATTTGAGCAGGCAGCACACATCCGCCAGGATCCCCTCCTCTCCTCTGGCAATTCAAAGTACAAGTAGCTTCCAGAGTTCCTACTCAAGCTCAAAGTGAGAGCCTTAAAATTCCAGCACATAGGACAGTGTTTCCCAAAATGAACTTGATGCCCTCTAGAAAGATGAAATATGATTTTAGATTGGACCAAAAACCCAATATTTACATGTTCCTTCAACTAGCAAATAGAAAATGATTTTCTATTTTCTAGTTAAAGGAACATGTAAATATGATCAAACCCATACTTCAGAGAGAGTAATTATTTACACAGATTTAAGTTTCAAAAAGTGAGCTGATTTAAAGAATAACCAGGAAATGTGCAGACAATGCAAAAATCATGAAGATGGTACTCAATAAATTAAGTTTAGGAAACACCGGTCAAGTGGAAGGCTCATGCAGACGTGAAGAACAGACAAGACTAGAAACAAGCGCCCCAGAGGACCTGCACAGCGCTGCTGCTCGACACAAAGCAAGATTGGGCAGACACAAGTTTCAACACCAGTGGCTTCATCTCTTCCTTCACAATTTAGAAACGCTAAGACAGCTCTATTCCTGGGCCAACGATTTATTTTGGGAACACTTAAAATCAATTATCTTCTCAACTGTCTTTAGTCAAAGTTCTAACATCAGAAGTGGCACCATCAGGATTACACGTTAGAATATACTGTTAAAGTCACACATTTGTGTTTAAAATTAATCAAAGGATATTAAAGAAATCCCCAGATACAATAAGAGTGAAAAACATTCACTACCCCAAGGTGAATTAACATCCACCTTAATTTCCAGTCTTATTAATCCTTTTTGTTTGCCTGACTCTATTCCTAGCAGAGGGGCTAAGTGCAGGGGTTGCTGACCTGGAATCTATGAACCTTCTCCCTCCACCCAAGGATTACCTTCAAAGGGTTTCTAAGATTTATGCTCATAATATTTATTTCTGTATGTATCCTTTTTTTCCTGGGGAGTAGCTCCCCATATCCTAAAACATGCCCCATGACCTCAAAACAGATTGTGCCAAAAGCTGGATAATCTTTTATTTCTCATTTGCAGGGCTGGAAGCACACCCCTCCCGTTTTTTCTCCAAGTAAAAGGGAAATGGTTAAAGCAATCTCAATTCAGACTAGCACCTCCATCCCCCAATTACCAGGAGGCCGAAACAGGGAGAGGACAGAAGGAAGGAAGGAGGACAGGTGTTACCTTCAGACAGCATCACTTCCCTACCACATAGCACGACCCTGTTACAGAAAAAGAAAAGGAAGACCAATCTCAAAGAAGTGATCAGCTTACTACAGACAGAAATGAAAACACATGCAATGCCCCCAGGCCCGCTTCATGAAATACAGGAGAGAAGACACACCTGAAGATCTACGTATTTGTAGAAACTAATAGATAAAATCCTCTGCACGGTAGATCAGAGGTCGGCAAGTACATAAACATAATGAGTGTGGCTGTGTTCCAATAAAATAAAATGTCATATAAAGACAGGAGGATTGGGCCACCGTAGTTTGCTGACCCCTGCAGTAGATAATAAACTGTTTAAATAATAATAACAAATAAATATATAATAATGATAATAAAGAAGTTTGAAACAAAAGGTTAATTATTTTTAAATGTTTTCATGTCTTGTCTCAAAACAGTCATATATCATTTTGAAAATATTGATTTTAAATTCCCAAGAAATAACGTAAATGAAATTTCTAACAGTTACCAAGCAAACATATAGTAGACACGATTACAAGTTGTGCCCAACTCTGCTTTCTAAAAAACCACCACATCATGAAAAACAAAATTTAATATATAAGATGTATTAAAGAAATATTTGTTCACGTTAACAGCCAGGTTCCAAATCTGAGGCTGTCTATTAATAGCCATTATGTCAATTTTGAAACAATAGTGATTTCCCACAATAAAGCAAGTTTGCCCGACTTGAACAAGATCCTTTTGTCATAACCCAAACCTAACATTTGAGAATTAAATCTCATAAATATCATATATGAAAGACTACTCACAAGGGTAGCAATGCTTTTATCAATTTAATCTCCCCCTCTCCCTGTTAGGAAACCCTGGTGGCATAGTGGTTAAGTGATACGGCTGCTAACCAAAAGGCTGGCAGTTCGAATGCACCAGGCACTCCTTGGAAACTCTATGGGACAGTTCTACTCTGTCCTATAGGGTCACTATGAGTCAGAATCGACTCGACAGCAGCGGGTTTGAGTTTTGTTTTTTTCTCCCTACTAAGAAAAACAATACCAGAAAACAAAAACAGAAGTTGTAAACTGCCGCTCTTATCAAGGAGTAAACTTGCATTTAGTTATTCAGATGCAGATTGCTGGTGGGCTTAACACATGGTAGGAATCAAATTGCAGGCACTCTAGGTTAGTAATGGGTAGCGTTTGGAAACTGTTCAACGTACCATGTCTGCCACAGTGCTTCTTAATATAAGCAGGAAATAATAAAGAGACTAAATAGTGCTTATCATATTACTAATGTTTCCTAAGTTTAAAGTTATTCAAGAATTTCCTTAAATCATTAACTGAAGATAAACCAACATGGATTTAAACTCTAAAGAAACACTAGTATTTTATATGGTCTGGTTAAGGTCAATAGAATCAAAACCAAAATAAACACAGAGCTTAATGCTGTAATTGGTATTTGTGTATCATCACACTGTCCTTCTAACAGTACAGAAGCAGCCAAAAGAAAAAAAGGTTACTGCTAAATTCTCACTCTGGATAGAACGGCAGACATCAGAGGAACAGAACTGTTAAATGAGTAGAAACTTCTGTCCCTCCCAAACTTAGGCATTGACCCTCCTCCCCCTCCCACTTCTGCTTCTTGAGAAGTCAAAATCTTCAAATCCTTTTTTTCCTCTCCTCTTCTTTTTGATGAGGGGACAGGCAGTAAGACAGATTTGCTGGAGGCAGTGCAGTGGAGTGGTTATATGCATGGATTCTACAAGAGTCAGACATTTATGCTCAAATCCTGGCCTGAGCACTTTTTTGCTGTGTGGCTTTGGGTAAATTTCCTAATCTCTGCTCCCATCTGAAAAATAGGTAATAGTGATACCTATCTAATTATTCACATGAGAGAAAGAAAAATAAAAGTCAACAGATTTTGACTACATTAAATCAAAAGGCCAACAACAAACTAGAAACTTTTTGAATGACACTGGAACTAGGTTTTAGGGTTAAACCTAAAACTTAAAGTTGAACCTGATCAATTGCACTTGGCTTTCAAAGATGTTTTTGTAAATGAGGTTTGATCCATGCGGGCTCTATAAAAGAGGAAACTAAGCAGCAAGAAATCTGGCCAAGGTTTACCCTGTTATCCAGGGGAAAGAGAAATGAACTCTGTCCAGCACACAGAATTTGGGCACAGGGAGAAGTCATCAGGCTTCATCATGACCTGGACATCGCCCCCCTCAACACACTCAACATAGGTATCAAGTGCTAGGGGAAGGGGGAAAAAAGAAAAAAAAAACCAACTGTCCCTAGCAGGAAGAAAAAAGAAAGGGATCTGATCAAAGGCCTCCCAAAAATGATGATGATGAGCAGGAAAGGGCTCTGGCTTAAAGCCAAGGTGACCAGGGAGAACACCACAGCACGAGCCATCAGATGAGGACAGTACAGCCTTGTTCCCACCCCTAATACACACGTGCCCCTGGTGTTAAGCAACCAGCAGCAACAGCAGCATAATCACTGATGTGGGAAGAGGGAGCCAAGGTACTTGGGCTGAAAAACTGGGCAATGTCCTGAATGGGCTAGAGAAAACCTACTGGACAAGAAAACCTCCACACCTAGACCAGCTCTTGGCTTCACATGCTATCCCTGTACCCAAGGGCTGAAACAGGAAAGTTTAAACACAAAGAGGAGGAGCACACAACCGAGAATTCTCAAGCATTTGAAAAAAACTACTCCAGTGAAAGTACCAAACTCAACAAAGAAAGTAACACCTGAAAAATTTGAGTTATAACAGTAAACAGAGTAAGACTTTAGCAAAAGCATAAGTATAATGAAAATACAGAGTACAAGGTGAAAGCATAAGGTAAAAGAATACGAACTGGAGAAGAGTCAAACTGAAAAAAAAAACTCAGACACTTAAGAAAATGATCAAAAAGCTCATAAGAATTTTTGCAAAGCTCACAGGAATTTTGCAAACTGCTTGTTAAACACAGGCATTATTAAAAATTATATTATATAAATATACAATTAAACTATATTTTTAAAAAAGGAAAGAAAATGAAAAGGCAAACCAAAGACTGCGAGGAAGTATTTGCAAAACCTAAGAGACATAGGACTTTTATCTAGACTATATAAAGCTGTCTTAACAATAAGACAAAACACACTTAAAATATTGGGGAAATGATTTGAACAGAAACTTCACCAAGGATATTAGGATGGCAAAAATAAGTTCATGAAAAAGTGCTCCACATCTTCAGTCATCAGAGAAGAGCAAATCAAAAGCACAATGAGCTACCCTTACACATCCTTCAGAATGGTAAAAATTTTAAAGACTGACCATACCAAGTGCTGGTAAGGATGTGGAGCAACTGCAACACTGAAACACCGTTGGTGGGAATGCAACATGGTATAGCCACTTTGGAAAACAGTTTGACAATTTCTTGAAAAGTTAAACACACACCTACAACAGGACCCAGTCAATCCACTCCTAGAAATTTACCCAAGAAAAATGAAACCACATCACACGTTCACAAGGTGAAATGTACATGAATGTTCATAGCAGCTTTATTTGTAATCACTAACAA